GCATTAACGAATAGACCTCCTTTCGGAAGGAGAGTTACTTTAAGAAACCTAGTAGATTCAACTCAAAGTTTCCTCCCTAGATATTCAGCGGTTTGGCTGACGATACAGGGAGGATTCTGTTTTGGGTGTTAATTTTTATACTTACTTCGTTACCATGGCAACATTGTCAACATATTTGGCCGAGATACTTTAATATCTTTACTTTCCCATGGTGAAAAGTCTGCGATAATTTTGAAAACTAAATCTCAAGGTTACCGATATCCACCCATTGTTCTAAATATATTCGATAAGATCTGACAGATTTTAACAAAAGTGATAACAACTGTGGCGTGACACGCGTGACTATAGACTTGTGATCGCCAAGTAAAAAAAAAACACCGTCGTGCCCGTGGCAACGCAGTTGTTATAAACATAAACTTGAACTGCACAATTAATAGAGTTCTGTTGTAGTTTTAACCCGTAGCTCTGTGATTTTATCGTCATCGCAACTCTACAATAACAACCACAACAGCAAAAACAAAATAAGATAAGGAACTTAAAAGGAAAACGCACATTATATATTGAGAGTAAAAGAACGCTGTGAGAGCTTACAGGGGTGACAGAAGTATGTCCTTAACGTGTACCACAGCTTACTTTTTTCTTTTGATCATGATGACCCGACCTGTAGCAATAGTCACTAGAACAACGCTCGCTGACTTCTTATCGGTGACCGCTTATTGAAACAGGCTCGACTGTACATAGAAACGCTTAGTACAGTCATTCTGTTATTGTCTGTTTTGTTGTTGTATTTTTACCGTTAAAAGCCATCACCCATTTGAGGCCCTTTTTGTTGACATTAAGTTCTTTATGATTAAGGGAGGGGGGGTGGGGGGGGAGAAAAGTAACTACAGGCCTGTTGATTAGAACGCAGAAAGACTCATTATTTATCGGCGGTTTCTCACGGAACTTTCTGCCGGCCGCGGCCGCTCGTCAAACATGTGAATGTAAATACAACGTGCCAGCGTTTCATGGATCGAACTTTAACAAATGGTCAACACCACAGCGTACACTATTGAGTTATGGATGCACGCGGAAGGTTTGCTAAGCACTCAAAAAGCTAGAGTCGCTCTCGGCTATCGCCTCGCGCGACTATTACGCTTCTTGCGTGCTTAGCAACCTCCCGCGTGCATCCTCAATAGTGTACGCTGTGGTGTTTACCATTTGTTTTTATAACATAACATTGATATATTGTAGCTAACGAGTTCCCTTTTATTTAACAAATCTTACGTGACCAGGAAACACAAGCGCGTGGAAAAATAGTCAGCAGCGTACACCCATGGGCAAATGGGGGACGCTAAATTGACCAAATCAGAGCGCGCGCTTTACTTTGGTTATGTTATAAAACTGAGTAGATTAAGATGCCCTCTAGGATCGATAAACCGAGGCTAAGGAACTGAACTAAACTTTTGAAACCGACAGAACGCAATAACTCGTTCCCAGTCTCATCGCAATTTCTTCACTTGTCAGGGCCAGTGATAGCTTTGAGAGCGACAAAATTAAACGTCAGGTGCCGCCGATCCAATTGCAAAGGCAACCGACTTTAGTTGCAGCTCAGCCAGCGGTGGCCATTTCGTGATCGCCCGGTGTTCACAATATACGTAGTTCTTCATTTCTGGTGAACACTTCAATCATCCCCTGTGGGGGAGAGGGAAAGAGTTAATCAGACGGGACACTTATTCGAGGGAGGAGAGGGGGGGAGACATGGTGGACTAAAATTCACTACTCATTCATTTAAAACTCATTCTTTTCAGCTCCATAGCAAAATAAAATAAAATAAGTCTATCTTATATGACGTTTCGTTGTGTAGTATCGCGTTATTTTTACTCTACGAAGCTCAGTTCGATAATAAGGCTACTTATTACGTGTATTGTTCATTTTCTAACACCAATTCTACCCAAGACACCTTCTCCCAGCGCCTCCTCAATGAAAAACCTTAAATAAGAGCCATAAACACCAGCAGGGCTCTCATTAAAATCCTTCTCCTGACTTAAATGTTTCCCTGTCACGCAGAAGGCCCTTTAATCCCTAATATCAACCTATTTGTG